TGTAACGTGAAGATCAAAATTTCGCCTCTTGCAAAATTTTGGTATAATGTTGCCCACTAACTAATCTCAAACCCTAATTAGGTGTCACATTTTAATTAGAAGGTGACATGTAAACAGGTGCGAATAATCCCAGCCAATAGAAACTTTGGGGAGAATTAGTAAATGCTTAATTATCACGGGTAATCGCGAAAACAGATGAAAATTTTCAGGTACGAAAAGTCGTAACGTAGATAAATAAGATCTCTTGTGATGCCTGGGTACGGGATATTTTGAAAGAGAACGCGACAAATACAATAAATGTTTGGTTTTATTAATATCGATATCTTTTAAGACAATTCATCTGCAACAATTTTATAAATTTCGATGAATTATATTAATCGAATATAGGATTAGGAAATATACATTTTCTTTGAAAGATGGTAAGCTTGATTTAATGATAGGTAGCTACATTTTGCACGCTGGATTTATAATCTCCCTTTTTTTTTTAAGAAAAAAAAAAACAGATATAGATCCAAAGCAAAAACTCATAATTCATTGATTCCTTGCCCGGCAATTAAAACGGGCTATATTACTGTGGGCACGGGATTAATAACTTGACTATTTTAAAAAAAATTATATGTATTCAACGAAGAAACTGTAGTGTTATTAGCTTTTATTGGTCTCGTGGTTCTCTATTGTATGCTCAGACAGCCCTTCAATGATTAGGTTGAGGGAAAAAGAATATAGGTATTACATAGATTACATAGTAAAAACTGATAAAAGGAATTTAGCAATTATAATTTGCAAAGATGTTCTATTATTGAATTCTTTTATTGATATTTTGTAATTTGTATAAAGCGTGTCAATGGCATCCTCGATCAAGCTCAGGAAGATCATAAAAACGTGTCAAAGAAAGAATTGACACGATTGGTTAGCTAGGAGACATTGTTGATATCACAAAAGTATTGTTTGCTATGTCCAAGGTAACTTTGAAATGTTTACTTATAATTTATTCTTTTTATTATTTTTTATTATTATTACGAAGGATTGGAAACCGAAACATTCGAATTGAAAATACGGTAAGGCTGTTAAACGTATCTAGTGATAATAAATTATTTGTTTTTATTGATTAAAAAAAAAAACAAAGGTTGGCTTATTTATAGCAACAAGAGATTATTATCAATTTATTGAAGACGTTGAAAGTGAGTATCTAAAATTCTTAATTACTAATGACAATTATTAATTTTATAATTGTTAATTCCAAGGCTGCATAACACTTGTAAATTTTTAAAAATCATTGAGTCTTAATAAACTACAAGTTTATTAATACGTATTATAAATGGTTGTGGTTATCGTGTATTATAAAATTTTGTATAACAGTCATATGTTCTCATACAGGAGTTTCCATTACTGATTACTAAATGTGTTGATATACATATTTGAAGATGTATTCTAATAAAAAAATTCGGATAAAAATATGATATAGGTGACACCTTAATAAATACTCAATTGATTTAAAGTAGGTGCACCTATACTATATTTTATCCCATATTCTTTTTATAAATCTACTCAAATACATAGTATAAATACTGTATATTTATGCAGAAGAGTTTTATAACAAGAATTTCAAGAGCATTTAAACACATTTTATCATTAACGCTAAAATGATATATTTCTGTATTTACAAATATTCATTTATTACGTTACTTTGGAAGTTCATCTTTTACAAATTATTAACTCAGATGCTCATAAAAAATATGATCATGAATATTATAATATACTTAGAATGTTTTGTGAAACCAATCTAGTAAATATATACGTATAATCATCCTTAGCAAATGTAAACGATAACGAGGATTAATATGAAAAAAAATTTTAAATTCAAATAAGATTAATTACTTTTGCTAAAACACTTTAAAATCAATGAGATGTCGAAAAAGTTCAATTATAACTCATTATTGAATAATCAAAACAAGTAAAAAGAATTAACCGTGTTACCCTTTATTGGGTTATACAGTAGAAACACAAGCAACTTTTCCTTCTTCAACTAATCCTTGTCCGATTAGATACTGTTGTAGACTATCTAATAATTCGAGCTGATCAGATGGTTTTAATGAATTTACGATGATATGAAGGACGGAACCGACCGATAGTGACGTAGACTTTGAACATAATAAAATGTGATAAGTAAAAGGATTAAAGACGAAAAAAATACGGTAAAACATAAATTATACAAGAAAATAGAAAACCTTGATGAAACTCTGGTAATACATATAAGAGAATAAGCCCATAAGAAACTGGCAATCCATACGATCAGTGATACCACCATGTCCGGGAATTGAATGACCAAAATCCTAATGGATAATAGGGATATAGGAATATAGGAATATAGGTTAGAAATCTTTAAATGAAGACACGATAATAAATAAATATAGGAATATTACCTTTAGATTAAATGCTCTTTTTACACCACTAGCAAAAAAACCACCAAAAGGGGCAATCAAAGAAGCAAAACAAGCCATAAAAAGAACGTGCCATTGAAATGGGGCGATCCAAACCCAACGGATGTCGGTGAAAATCTGAAAAAAAATTTTTTTTTAATATTGGATAAAGAAAAATACTTGTGCACATAGACCACTTACAAATCTTCTGAGCAGGCCAGATAACCAAGGACTAAGTGTATATTTTTGAGGAATGAATACAGGGTTTGGATCACAAGTCATACCAGACCACGCAAAAGCATTACTGAGATCCTAAGCAAATGCAGAAATTATAACAAATGAATAATCAAAAAAAAAAAAAAGATAAAAAAAAGATAATATACGGATAGAATTAATGATATAATACCTTGCTGACGGGACAAATCATGTAATCCCATCTCATTAATAATGAAGCCCACTGTATGAAAAACAAAATTTAAATACATAACGATGTATATAAAAATATAATGATTACAATAAAAGTAAGAAGGAATACTCACAAAGAAACCAAATATAATAGTGAAAATCCAGCCACCTACAAAACCCTCCCAAGTCTTTTTAGGGCTTAACTTTATCAAAGGAGTTTTACCCCAAAAAAATCCGCATATATAAGCAAAGATGTCATTACATATTACCAAAGATACGGGGAGCAAGAACCTGGTGAGCAAAAAAAAAAAAATTAGATAAAAATGAATAATAAATATAGCTAATAGTTTAGTCAAACAATTCATACCAAATTAAGCCTTCAAATATATTGTTGACTATGAAATGACTCTGGCACACGACAATCAATAAAGTCATATGTGTCCAAGCGAATTGGGTGAATTGAAACTTGTAATGCCCCTTT